CGCGTTCAGCATCGCCTCTCTGGTTGCAGCAGAGGCCGCAGAGCGTGCTGCCCGCCTGGGCCCCGGGTCCCCCAACCGGGCGAAGCTTCACCGGCTGCTGGAATCCCCGGCAGGGATGCACTTCAGCACCGTCACCAGGGACATGGAAGGTGAGCCTTCCCGCAGCGTCTACACCGACCGCCCTCCAGATCCTCTGCCACTGCTGCCCCAGAGAGGGTTGGCAGGGCTGGGGCACGGAGTGGGTGGGAGGGGACCTCTGGCAGGGTGGGCTCCAGGCTTCCAGCTTCAACTCTGGGGCAAAGGAAGGGCAGGCATCCTGCCCAAAGCTTGTGCACCCTCCAGCCTGGGGACCCAGCTACAGAGACCTGCACAAAGCTAGACCCGAGCCCAGAAGCGGTGAGCGGAGGCGGGAAGGACAGGAGCGGAGGGCCAGAGAAAGGCGGCGGAGGTAGTAGCCCTGAGCTCGGAGAGGTGGGATGAAAGTACAAGGAACAAGGGGAAAGGAGAAAGAGAAAGACGCGAGGCAGCCAGGAGGAGGGGAAACTGAGAAAAGAAGAGAAAACATAGAAAACCCGAAAGGAGGGTAGGGAAGAAGAGAAAGAAGAAAAAGAGAGGGCAAGAACAAAAAGAAGAAAGTGAAGGACATTTTAAGAAAGTCGTTTAAAAAGAAAAAGTTAGAGAAAAACTTCAGTTTTAATTTTTTAAAAAAAAGAAAAAAGTAATGAATAACAAAGAAAGATATACAGAAAGAAGAGGGAAAAGGCAGACTGAAAAGAAAAAGAGTGATGAAAAATAAAGTGGAAAGAAAAGACATAACAGGAAAAAGAGGAAGAGGCAGGAAAGCAAACAGAAATAAAGAGAAACGAAAGAGATAGTGGAGGAAGGAAAGACGAACAGGAGGGAAATTTTAAATGATCAAGACAAAGGTAAAAAAATAAATAAACTGGAAAGAGAGCCTGGACAGAGAAGGGAGAAGTGCAACACGGGAGGGCGGCAGAGCGAGGGGCGGCGGAACTAAAATCGAAGGTATTATAATATCATGGCTAAGACTTTAAAAAGTTCAGAGAAAGAGTTATTTTATTAAGATAAATTCTTGTTTCATCATTGAGTTTAAGATTCAACATCAGTTTTTAGTTTTAAACAGGCTGTTTATTGCCATCCTTCTTTTAAATATCACTCCTAATCAACAAAGAGAATAAGAAACAGAAACTATTCTGTAGAAAACTAGGAGATATCCGTAACTGCAAATCATCCTATATAATAAAGAGCTAATATGCTAATTAGACCAAACAGCTGAACGACCATCCAGACGACATTCTGGACAACCATCCGGATGACCTTCTGGACAAAGCCAGGGCTGTGAGGGCTGGCCAAGGCTACGAGGGGCTGCGAGGGGCTGCAAGGGCCGAGGCCATGAGGGGCTGTGAGGGCTGAGCCCCTTGCACGAATTTCGGGCCTCTATTCTATATAAAAAAAGCCCAGCGACCGTTACAGTGGAACGACCGGTTGCTGCCACCAGCGCCGCTGCAGAGCCCGAGGGCCCCGGGGCCAACTGTGCTCCCACCACCAAGGCACTGGGTAAAGAATGCGAAGGTGGCCAGCGTGAGCATGCATCTTGAGATGAAGGCTTTGTGGGACGAATTCAATCAGCTGGGCATCGAGATGAACATCACCAAGGCTGGCAGGTCAGGGCACCCCTCTCCCCGCTGTGACTCTCCCCACATGGCGCCCGTCTTAGGCAGCAGGCTTTGGCTCAATCCACATGAGCGAGACTGAGAAGTGAGGTGGGGGGCACAGCCTGGCCCCCTGCGGGTCCCTCTCGGCGCGGGCCAGCTCCTTCGCTCTCCGAGTCCCGGCTCTAGCGACAGCCGCCTGGCGCGCCGGGCCGGAGGGTACTGCTCGGGAGGCCAGGAAGGCGGTGGAGAGAAACCCTGCGGACCTGCCGCCCGACCAGCAGCCCCAGGACCTGGCACCGCCAGAAATGGACCGGCTCACCGAGCTTGGGGGGAAGACAGCCGCCTGTGGAGGGGCCTTGCCACCAGCCGGCTCTGCCTCCCGGTGGATCCCACCTCAAAGGAAACTCGGTCTTTGGTTCCTTAGTTCAGTCTATCCCGGCTAAAGAGGAGCAGCTGGGCAATTGTCGGGAACATTTTAGGCGAGAATTAAGACTCTAAAGCAGTGTGTTCTGTTCCGTGGAGATTGCTACCCAGTTGTCTTAGGCCTAAATTCCGGGTGATTGTGGGGCCTGGCTCTGCCGCTGGGGCCGGCGTCTTCCAATTGGCCTGTATTTGTTGTAAGGGCCCAGAGAGAAGAAGGGGAACAAGTTTATCGATGCAACGGATTTGACCAACAGACAAAGGCGAGTGCCGGGCTGTGTCTAATGTACACACAGAGACACCAGCTCTGAGTCCGCCTGGCCAAAGGGAGCTCAGGGCCTGTTTGCAGAGCCTTCTGGTGGTTTCTGTTTCCTTGCTGAGGCCGTTCTCCCTGGGAAGCCTGGGGCCCACGCTCAGCTCCAGCTCAGTGGGTCTTCTCCAGGCTCTCCTTGCTGTCCTGGGCACCCCCTCTCCCCCAGGACTGTGCCCCAGCCCCTGGTCCAGGCCAGCCCAGCAAGGGTCTTGGCACCAGCTAGGCTTCACCCCAGGAGTCAGCATTCACCCTCCAGCCCGCAGAGGTGGGGTGGTGGTGGTGGCAGGCCAGTCCAGGAGGGCCAGCTCAGTGTCATCTGTTTTCTGCCCACCGCCTGCAGGGAGCGAGGGGAAGCCGTAGGAAGGGCTGGGGGCCAGGCCTTGTGCTGTGCTCCAGAGCCCCGCGGGCAGGGCCGGCCCACAGCCAGCGGCCCATCCTGGAGTGGCATAATGCCCTCTCAAGAGCCTGATCTGGTCATCAAGGTGGAGTCCCGGGGGAGGGAGAGTTAGAGACCATGAGGGCACCAGCCAAGTCTGCCCTGAGTAGCTGTGCCTTAGGGTTATGGTGGCAGTCGGGGGAGTGGGAACTTGTAGGTGTCCCCAAGGAAGGTAGGGAGACTCCAGCACTGGGCCTTACTGAGGGATTGGGGACAGCCTAGGCGCAGTCGAAAGGGCAGCCAGGACTCCTTGGAATCTCACAGAATAACCCGGTTTCACTTTGTTGGAGCCGGGAGCCTAGATCGAGCTGGGGTGGCTCTGTTGAGGGCTGGCACTGGATCCCGCGGCTGGGGTGTCGCCAGCGGAGGCTAGCTCGGCAATTGCTAGGCTGGGTCCACACAGGCAAGGGTGACAAGCGATTGGCCAAGGCTAGGGTGTGGAGGTTCAGCTCCAGTGTGGAGCTAGCCATTTTCGTGTTTTAAAAACGGGGGCAGGGGGGTTCCCTGCCGCTCCTCTTGCCCTCGCTGGGCAGGGGCCTGGTCAGGTGAGAGCAGCTGAGTGAGGGGAGATGAGATGGAGGGACCGGGCCCCCAGACCACACACAGCAGTCACAGGGAGGCAGTCCGTCCCCGGCTGGTTAAGGTGGAGCGACCCTGCCCTTCTCCATCTAAGGTGACCTGCCTCCTTGCCGTCCTGTCCCCAGGCGCATGTTCCCCACCTTCCAAGTGAAGCTCTTCGGCATGGACCCCATGGCTGACTACATGCTCCTCATGGACTTTGTGCCCGTGGACGACAAGCGCTATCGGTGAGCGCCCAGCAGGACCCGGGAGGGTGCCCTGGGAAGCCACGGGTCCCTGCCTGGTGATGCTTTGGGTACAGCTCACAACATTGGTAACTCGGAGGCCGCAGGCATCTGTGCCAGCTTCCCCACCCGCTTTTGTGTCCTGTTCCCTTCCCACCCTGTCGGACCCCAGACTCGCAAACACCCTGCCCCCAGAGGCTCTCCAAAACTCCCCTTAGGAGGTCACACAGGCTGGTTACCTCCCCACCAGCTTTAGGCCCAAGGCAGCGCCCATGCGGGGGAGACCCCAGCACACAGCCCCCCTTCTTCCTGTCTCCTCCCAGGAGGTGAACACCTTGTCCCCTTCCCCCACCCCCAGGGAATGCTGCCCTCCGCCCCCAGCAGGGCAGGAAAGGTGGGGTGACCGGGAGAGATTATGCAGGGCGGGCCTTAGCTGCCCGGACAATTAACAGCAATTAATAAAGAGAACGTGGTTTGCCTGGTGCCCCAGGCAGCCTTCGTGGCCAAATCCAGGCGCCCGCTGAGCAGGCGACACTGGAGGCCAGCAGGGAAGCCCAGAACAGGCAGACCCGTGTGCAGCGAAATGTGGCACCGGGAGCTCAGCCTCCCTCCCCCCTCCTCTCCTCCCTCCTCCGTGCGGATTCCTGCTGTCTTGTGTTTGGGGACTGGAGGGAGTTTTCTGTTTTCTCTACAATTCCCCTCAGAAAAGCTCCCAGCCTGTGTGGCAGCCAAAGCTTCACGATGGGGAGACTCATCAGAGGCACTTTCGGGGTTCACTCAGTTTGCCCCCACATGACGTGACCCATGCTCTGGTGCGTCCCAGGTACGCCTTCCACAGCTCCTCCTGGCTGGTGGCCGGGAAGGCAGACCCTGCCACTCCAGGCCGAGTGCACTACCACCCTGACTCGCCTGCCAAGGGCGCACAGTGGATGAAGCAAATTGTGTCCTTCGACAAGCTCAAACTGACCAACAACCTGCTGGACGACAACGGCCACGTGAGCGGTCCCCCTCCCCAGGCTACCACGGCGTCCCCACCCCTGCAGGCCCTCCGCACACCAGAGGCAGAGCTTGGGCAGCTTGGGGTGTGGATGAGGGACAGGCTGCAGAGAGCAGCCCTTCTGGTCAGGGGCTCACAGGGTCTGGTGGATCTCAGGCCTGGGAGAGGGTTCCTCATCTTTTTTTGGAGATTTTTAACTGGAAAGGATGGTGCCGGGTGTGGGGGTAGGTGCAGGAGGCTTTTTGGAATCCCGGCTGGCGATGGGAGTCGCAGTAGTTCTTGAGGACATAAGGAAAGAGAATCCAAGCCTCGATCTTTTGCCACTCGGAGGAGCGTCTTTCCTGGTGGCCCCCAGTCGGTCACAGTGTCCACTTGGGTCCCCCTGGCCAGGCCTCATTTGGGGAGATAAGGGTTTTGCCCGAGTTCCCTGGGACGTTTGCTGCCTGTTAAGATCTTGGCCAATTTCCTAGCTCCTGCCTCGCCACCTTGTCTTCCAGATTATTCTCAACTCCATGCACAGATACCAGCCCCGTTTCCATGTGGTCTACGTGGACCCGCGCAAAGATAGTGAGAAATACGCCGAGGAGAACTTCAAAACCTTTGTGTTCGAGGAGACGCGCTTCACGGCCGTCACTGCCTACCAGAACCACAGGGTGAGCGAGGCCTGCGGACCCCCACCTTCGGCACTTCTGGGGTGGGGTGACATTTTCAGCCCCTGCCTGGGAACTGAAGGTTTGGACCTGCAGATGACGGCCCCAGTGGAACAAAACCAGCATGCAGCCCCACCCCCAAGGGCCTCAAGCGCCCCCTCCCCTCGGCTGCAGGACGTCCCAGCCGCCTATCAGGTTGACCTTTCAAGCAGCAACTGTCAATGCGGCCTGAAAGTTTGTTTTCCAAACCATTCCGGAAACTCCCCATCAGGGGCCAGATCTGAGGTTTACCCAGATTCCTAGGGCGCCCCTTCGCTCTTCTCCACTGCGCGGTGGGGGTGGAGGTGACCACATTCCCATCTCAGCCAGGGGCGTAGGGTCTCCATCCCAACCGTTGGGGTCCCCAAAGGGGTTCCTTTCCAAGAAGGGAGGCTCCGCAGACATCCCGCCGCAGGAGAGAGGCACAACCTCCGTGGGGGAGGGGCGGCTGCGGGCCGGTTCAGTCCTCGGAGAGGAGGGGAGCCCGTCCCGGAGCAGCCCCTCTCAATGCTCCCCAACACTCCCCAATTCTCCGCGGAGGTCCAACAGCCCCCTGCGCAGGGCTCCGGCGCTGGCTCAGTGCGCGCCCTCTTCCCCGCAGATCACGCAGCTCAAGATCGCCAGCAACCCTTTCGCCAAAGGCTTCCGAGACTGCGACCCCGAAGACTGGTGAGTGTCCCGAGGAGACAGCGAGCGCCACCGGGCGCCTGCACGGGGCATCC